ATCTCTGAATTGAGGAGGTGAGAGCCATTATGTGAGGGTAACAGGAGTGGTAGCAGGAGGGAAGAGAGCCAGTAAGGTGGGGAAGGCGAGCTGGAGAGCTCTTCAGGGAGCACCTATTCAGCTCCTGAAGGAAGAAGAGTGCTCTGTCATCATGGTAGAGAGCAAATTCAAAGGATAGGGAAAGAAAATTGGGAGGGGGATTCAAGCACTGGCAAGCAATTACGTCCAGAATTTAGAAACACGTGTGCTACAGTAGGAACTGGTAGCAGTTTTCCTTTTTGTAAATCATTTCCCCCCTCCTACCTTCCATGTTGTTTCCCTAAGCCAGGATCTGACAGGACATTAGAGCAGCAGCTGGCAGTGAATGACGGGGGGAACTTAAGCCCTGCTGACTTAGAAGCTTTTTTTTATTATTATTATTACTATTTTTTTTGAAGTGCCTGCCCAGTGATTCTAGTTGAGTAGAATGAATTTTGAAAGGTAGGATTCCCATTATCCCATGCAGAAAAACTGATTTGCTAAAGGAAAGCCATGCTTGCTTTAAGTGGTGGTAATTGTGTGGTCCATGCTGACAAGTGTTGCATTTGTCTTGACCCTTCCATTGAAGTGCAAAGTCTAATGCTTTTGCAAGAAGGAAGGAGGGCTTTTTTAGAGCTGTAATTATTGGACCAGAATACGTCTTACTGTGCAGTGAGAACATACTGGAAATAGTCTCTGAGCACCTGTATTTGTTGGGTACTGGAAGTACTGTAATGGCGTCTTTGCCTTTCCACTCCCAACTCGATGTCCCTAGTAGAATGACCTAGTAGATTCTATGATAAATGTACTGGTGATGAATATAGTATGAAAAGTGAGCTTTTGTTTGTTTGTACTGTGTCTGCCATTCATATGCATCTATTCCAGTAGTTTTCCTTCTATGGCTTTGCAGTTCTTTTCTAGTTCAATGAGCAGAAAGAATACAGTATCCTTAATGTACTGCAGCACTGGAAACACCATCAAGTGCTGTCTATTTAATGTCTTCCACATTGTTTTTATTCTCTGAAGCATAGATTTTTATTATTTTTATTTGTATAAGGGATTAAATTGCACAACTAGACATCATGAAACATGTAGGGTGCTCAGAAAATAATGCCTTCTATTTATTGCTATGGAAACTACAACAGACACAAAGAGCACAGTAACACTATCTGATAGAGCAAATTCTCGGGTACCGAACGCTCATCGTAGCCACCACTATTATGTATGCAGCAATTTGAATAAGTACCTGCATGCCACACTCATAACAATCTGCAGCCATGGAAGTGACCCACTGTCATGGTCACCCCTGCTTAAATGCAACACCCACCACATTTCTGTGCTCATATCCACTGTTCAGTCTCCATAAACACTCAGCAAGTGTTAATGAATGTCAGTGAGTGCCATTTTTTCCTCATGGAGGAATTCAGTGACTTGTCTTTACAGCCATATCACCAACATCTGCCTCTGATGTTGTGGGTGTACATAATAAAATAGGAGGTGTTACTTTTGGAGCAGCCTTCATATATCACTTGGAGATGTTTCTGTTGTGGTTTATTGATTAAAAATATATTTTTTTGTCCTTTAGAGAAGCTTGCAAAAAAGCATAAGTGCTTTCAGCAAGGATGCTACTTGAGTGGTCACAGTTACCTGGAAATTGCTGTTGCACAATACAACTCAGTTGTTTGTCTGTTCTCTACCCACCACATTTTAAAGCCTGCATGTAAGCTGAGACTCGGAGCTGCTGTTTCAGAAGAACGTTTCTGATTAGAAGGCATGCAAAGATAGGGTCCAAAGTGACCAAAGACTGAAACAATTTCAACAAGGTGGTGGGAGTTGCCTGATAGTTGGAAAGGCCAACCAAACTGAAAAAAAAACTGTATGTGTGTAATTGCAAATCTATTTTGGATCTAGTAGTGGCTATTGTGTCAGTTGTTGCTGCTTGAACATGGGCCTGAGCTGATGCTCTTCCTGTTTGTTAGTTTGGCTGCCCAGGGAGGTGGTTGAGTCAGCATCCTGGGAGGGAAACATGGAGATGTGGTACTGAGGAACATGGTGAGTGAGTATGGTGGGGATAGGTTGATGGCTGGACTAGATAAGCTCAGTGTTTTTTTCCAACCTTTAATGATTTTGTGTTTCTATGGCTCAAGTAGCCATTACAAGGAAAGAATGTGGCCAATCTTGGACAATTTCCTGTTGGCTTTACGGACTCAGCAGTTTTATGTGGTAAAGGAATAGGAATGTAAGAGCATTTATGTGGCTGAGTAATTTAGAAATATCACACATACTTTAATATGTGTGCATGCTCTCTCTGTATATACAGAATATTTTCTAAGAGCAGTTTCTGTTTAGAAATGATCACTCTTCCAATAACAAATTCAGCTGTTCACAATCATGTACTGGCAGGAACCTCAAATAGGTACATTCCCAACAACAGATCATCAAAGATGATACAAGCATCTATCTCTCTCACGCTGCTGGCACCCAGCAAGATAAGATCACAGCCCTGGGAGCAGGAAGACTAGTTTCTGTGGTGTGTCTGAGAGTGTATTTGCTCTGTGTTGTGTAAATACAGCTCTTGTTCTCCAGCCTCTTCAGTTATTGAATTTTAGCACATCCTTTTCAACACAGGTACCTGCATAAGTTCAGTCATGCTGCCTCACAGGCATCTTCTTCAGCTAGACAGCAGTGCTGGGAAGCGTTAAATTAATGAGGTGAAGAACCTCTACTCTGTTTAATTTTGTCTTCAGGAATTTCACCTGAAAGTCTTTGATGTCTAGGGCTGCATTTGGGACTGCCAGCTGCGTGGGGCTGTGTGCTACTTCAGGCAGACTCCTTGCCCGCAGGTCTCTCTCCTCACCACCATTTCCCTTGTCCCACAGAGCCAAGCTTTGTTTACCTCCCACACATCCCTGCAAGGCCCGGAGAGCATAGCCCACTTCCCCCACACCTAACACATCCGCAGTGACAGGTTGCTGTGCTTGCCAACTTGTGTTGCTCTCTCTTCGTCATAGCTTAAGAACATGTCCCTGCCCCCTTTTTTCTTTCTTCTCTATTCTGTAGCTTCAATGAACTTTTTCCTGTTGCTATAGTTACAGTGTCTTTGATGAAATTAGCTGGATCCTTCCCTTACAGTTGGAGTTGATTCTTGGCCAGGCTTTTTTTTTGGCAGTAGCCCAGTATAGTGTTAGTCATCACAGAAGTATCATGCCCATATTCTTTGAGGGTCTCTAGGTGTTTGTTTCTCTTCCAGAAATACTGGTATCCACGTAATATAAGCTCATAGTCGTCTCTAAAATCAAACTCAGCCTTGTAGGATGCAAATCTGGCATTCAAGTTGAAGGTAATTTAGCTGTTCCAGGTCTCAATCTTGCTGATTTTTTATTTGGCCATCAGTCAGAATCTGTGGGGGTTCCTTTGCTACATCTCTGTTCTTTTGAAAGACTGTTTCGCTGCCTTTTAGATACTCAAAGTCCTACATAGAGATGATTTCCGAATACCATATTTGCTTCCTTGAATTTTTAAAGGAGAAAGTGCAATTTATATTCATCGACCAAGGCAGTGCCCATGACTGTGTTAGGAGAAAGAGCCTGCCTGGTTTTGTGAGCATATGCTCAAATTTTTCCTTGCCTTCTCTTTTCTCAGCACAGAGCTCTCAAGCTGCTCAAGGAGTGTGCTGAAGGAAGGAATGTCTGGGAACACAGGGATCCCAAAGTGTGGGTGTAGTGCCTGGGTGGCCTTGATGTGGGTTTTGGTAGCTGAATATCTCTTGAGTTGTAACAAACCACAGTCTAAAACCAAAAGCATTATATCTGAGCTGATCTAGAAGTAATTTAAAGTCAATTCTTTTTTTTTTTTTTTTAATTATTTTTATTTCTCTTATGTTCCCATTTGTTATGTATGCAGGAGTTCTGTTCTCAGGTTCTGTCTGATCAGTTGGTGCCAATGAGAACTGGAAGAGGATGCTATCAAAGCATCTCTGTTAGGCTGCTGGAATGCCGGATGGAAGGGTGCACTTCTAAGAGCTTCATGGAGCCCATAGGAAAAAGTAGTAAATATGCCCTTTTTCGGGTGTTTAAGTCTCGAACAAATTTGTCTCCCAGCTTCACAGATGTAAAGAAGCAGTGATATAGATATGTAACCAAATGTTAAGACGTGCTCTGTTTGAAATAGTTTTTTGAAGGATTTGTTTCTTATTGGATTTTATTCAGAAAAGCAAACAAGCCTTTGCAGATAACTTTCCAGGTTTTACCAGTGGAACAATTATGTCTAGTAGCATTTATGGTACATGGATGTTCGGAAAGCAGGAACCAGCAAAAGATGAAACATCATGGTGAAACCTACAGTTTATTTTGGTAGTAGTTAAGATTGTCATCCTTATCAGTCAGGGTTTGCATACTGAAAAGTAGCAGATACATTCATCACTGATTTCAGTTTCAGGAATTTCAGCTTTTCTGTTTTCATCCTGTGTGATATTTCCAGTTTAATTCTGAGTTCTGTGGTAGATAGGAAGTTGCTTGGTAACTCCGCTTCATTTCCTGAAATGACGTACATGTGGTTATTCAGAATTGTTTCAGGACATCACTGGGATACTTTTCTTTATATCACTGTTTCCTTGAAGCAAGAGCTGTTGGTTTTAGTGGTTGGATGTTTGCCTTTGGATGTCAATGAGGCAGAACTGAGAAACATCCTTTCCAAGACAGATGGCATCTGAGGAAAGGGCTTTGCAGTAGTGATAGAGTAGTCATTGTTCTACTATTTCTCAGTTTGTACTTGTCTTGCCTATTTGATTTTCAGCAGTGTAATACGTAGTTAAGCAAACAAAACAGCTTAGTAAATGTGTCAAATCAGACTGATGCCGATAGAAGCAACATCCCCAAAAGTCACAGCTCTAACATGTTCTCCATACTTGGTTTATAGTAACAGCTTTAAAATACTCTCATAACTGATTTACTCTTGCAATAATCTTATTCTTCCTCTTTCAGAATGAGAAGGCTTTGGGGCATTCTGTGAGCCGCTCTAGTAACATCTCAAAGGTATGTTCCTCAATATAACTCAGTCTTTGATAAATTTGGGGGATAATGGGATTTCTTTCATTTCAAATTTGAAGTGAAAGATGTCACAGTGTGACCAGTAGAAAATGCTGCTTATGGCTGTCTGTAATTGATAGTCACTCTGCTGAAACATTAGAATTCTCTAGTGTTACGCAGATTGTCTTTACAGGTCAAATGAAATGGAAGCTACAGTAGGTTTTCTCTTTCACACTGTCAGCCTCCTTAGCTTGATAGGAGCAAGATAGATGACAGATGCCTGAGATTTTATCTTGGGAAAAAGTGCTCCAAAACTATTACTCAAGTATGGCTGGTTGTTTGTTTTTTTTTGGGAGGAGAGGGATTTCCCCATAAGCTGTCCAGTTTTATGTGAGATGGATGTAACCATGCATCCATAATGTGTATCAGATACATGCTTAAATATTGTTTTATTGTCACCTCATTTGAATAATATTGGTAGTGTCATGAAGTGCAGTGTTATTAGGGCATGGCTATGTAAGTATTCTAAAGCAGTTTATACCACGAAGTCTGGTCTCGTAAGGGAAGCGTGATGAACTGCCTATTCTAATGCTTCAGTTTGACAAATGCACACATCAAAAACACAGTCGCTTTATGTCATCAGGAAAAAAAATAAATAAATAAACCTTCTTCCAAAAGAACTTGTTGCAAGAACATACTTGCTACTCCTACTTCTTACCAGACTTTAATTAGCTGAAATCTAATGTGCTTTCAGCATACCTTGTTGCTTACATGGGTACAATTGTTTGAAGGCTTTGTGCAAGCAACACTGTGCTGGCTGGCTAGTATTTTTCATGGGGTGCATGAGCCTTAACCCGTCTTTTTCAAGGTTATTGTTGCTGGTGATAATGACTTCTAATGACAGAGTGAGTCATTGTGTCTGTGACACGTTCAAGTCATGTTATTCCATTTTGGGTACTTCAGGATACGTGAAGTTGTTTGTGCCTATCTCCAGCAAAGGAAAGAGTGGCTGCTTTTTATGGCTTATATGAGCACAGACAACTTTCACTTTGGAGCAGAAAGACAAGATTGCTGGATGTCTTAAATAACAAGTAGGGCAACTGCCCATTGCTTAAGGCATTGACCAAGCTGAAAGTGGTATTGTCATGGAAGCAGTGCAGCATTACCTTTTGTGTTCAGCTTCAGAAAAAATGTATTCACACAAAGGGTTTTGGAGTAAGCATAATGTGAGTGTAACTTCTGATTCATCCTCTCCCAAAACAGGACTGTGCCTATCCCTTGTTGCCCTTGGTCTTCTCTTCCTAGGATCTTTTCTTGGATTTTCAGGCATTGTTCAAAAGAAATGGCAATTTTTATCAAGTGTCATTGTACTTTTCCCAGAGTGTGCAAAATTCAACACAAGATGCCTTTCTGCAGCAGCTGTTTCATTCCTATTCCCTCTGTTGTTCTCACAGAGGAGCCCTATCCCAGCAGAAGCAGCATACATAAAACTGGCTGCACAGTTCATTCTTCATTCATCAAGAGCTGTTGGTGCAGTGGGAAGGACCTGACTTTCTGGCAGAGCTCTCCTTGGGAGCGCTGGCAAGTGAGATACCAAGATTTGCATTCTTCTTGAAGCACTGAAATGTTCAAAGTTTTACAACACACAGCAATTGGCTAAAGTTCTCAAGGGGAGCAGAAGTCAGCTTTGCCAGTTCAACTTGTGAGAACTGGTCGGCATTTAAGCAGCTCTTCTTCCAAGCTCAGGATCGGTGTGTCCCTGTGAGGAAGAAATCGGGAAAGGGTGGCAGGAGATCTGTGTGGATGAGCAAGGAGCTCGTGCACAAACTCAAAGGAAAGAAGAAGGCCCATGAAATGTGGAAAAAGGGTCTGACTACTTGGGAAGAATACAGGAATGTTGTCAGGGTCTGCAGGGATGCGACAAGGAAGGCTAAAGCCTGCCTGGAATTGAATCTGGCAAAGGGGATAAAGGATAATAAAAAAGGTTTTTTCAAGTACATTAACAGTAAAAGGAAGACTAGGGAGAATGTGGCTCCCCTGCTAAGTGACGGGGGTGTTCTGGTAACGGGGGATGCTGAGAAGGCGGAGAAACTGAATGCCTTCTTTGCTTCTGTTTTCAGTGAAAAAGCTCCCCCTCAGGAATCTGAGACCCTGGAGGTTAGTGAGAGGATCTGGGGAATGGAAGACCTCCCTTCTGTCAGGGAAGAGGTGGTCCAGGAGCGCCTAGGCAACACCAATGTTCACAAATCCATGGGACCCGATGGGATTCATCCATGGGTGCTGAGGGAGCTGGCAGAGGTGATTGCTGAACCGCTTTCTGTCATCTTTGAGAAGTCTTGGAGGACGGGGGAGGTGCCTGAAGACTGGAAGATAGCCAACGTCACCCCAGTCTTCAAAAAAGGCAAGAAGGAAGACCCAGGCAATTATAGGCCAGTCAGCCTTACCTCTGTCCCTGGAAAGGTGATGGAACAGCATGTATTGAATGTCATCTCCGGACAACTGGAAGAAGAGGAGGTTATCAGGAGTAGTCAGCACGGGTTCACAAGGGGGAGGTCGTGCTTGACCAATCTGGTAGCCTTCTATGATGTTGTCTCTGGCTGGGTGGATGGGGGGAGAGCAGTGGATGTAGTCTACCTTGATTTCAGCAAGGCATTTGATACTGTCCCCCACGACATCCTTATAACAAAGCTGAGGAAGTGTGGGATAGATGAGTGGACAGTGAGGTGGGTTGAGAACTGGCTGACTGACAGAGCACAGAGGGTTGTTGTTGGTGGTGCAGAGTCCGGTTGGAGACCTGTAACCAGCGGTGTTCCTCAGGGGTCTGTGCTGGGTCCGGTCTTGTTCAACATCTTCATCAATGACCTTGATGAGGGGATAATGGCCACCCTCAGCAAGTTTGCTGATGATACGAAGTTGGGATGATTGGCTGACACGCCTGAAGGCTGTGTTGCCATTCAGCAAGACCTGGACAGGCTGGAGAGCTGGGCAGAAAAAAACCGGATGAGGTTTAACAAAAGCAAGTGTAGAGTCTTGCATCTGGGGAGGAATAATTCCATGCATCAGTACAGGTTGGGGGATGACCCGCTGGAGGGGAGCTCTGCGGAAAGGGACCTGGGTGTCCTGGTGGATGACAGGTTGGCCATGAGCCAGCAGTGTGCCCTTGTGGCCAAAAAGGCCAATGGCTTACTGGGGTGCATTAAAAAGAGCGTGTCCAGCAGGTCGAGGGAGGTGATCCTTCCCCTCTACTGTGCCCTGGTAAGACCTCATCTGGAGTACTGTGTCCAGTTCTGGGCTCCCCAGTACAAAAAAGACAAGGATCTCTTGGAAAGAGTCCAGCGGAGGGCCACGAAGATGGTGAAGGGCCTGGAGCATCTCTCCTATGAGGAAAGGCTGAGTGATCTGGGTCTGTTCAGCCTTGAGAAAAGAAGACTGAGAGGGGACCTGATCCAGGTCTATAAATATCTAAGGTGTGGGGGGCAGAATGGCAAGGCCGGACTGTTTTCAGTGATGAGTGGAGACAGGACAAGGGGAAACGGCTGGAAACTGCAGCATAGGAAGTTCCGCACAAACATGTGCAAGAACTTCTTTACAGTGAGGTGACGGAGCACTGGAACAGGCTGCCCAGGGAGGTGGTGGAGTCTCCTTCTCTGGAGATGTTCAAGACCTGCCTGGATGCCTACCTGTGCGACCTGCTGTAGGGAACCTGCTTTGGCAGGGGGGTTGGACTCGATGATCTCTGGAGGTCCCTTCCAACCCCTACAATTCTGTGATTCTGTGATTCTGTAACTGTTGTTCCAAACATGAGCTTCCCAGAGGTACAAATGTTCTTATGTCCCTCTGTCACCTGCATCTGATCCATTCCGTGCTGCTGCTTCATTCTGGAGATTGCTCCTAGCAAGGGCCTCTGGTGAAATTAGTCAGAGATTTACCTCATTCATCTGCATGCTACCTTGTGCATCCAGACAATTCAGTGCTAAGCTACAACAATTTATACTGCAGCCTACAAGTTGGATGGCTGTCACAACCAATTTGTAGGGCAAACCAGGAAAGATTATAGTTAGCAGGATATTGCGTAGAAGCTTGAGTACATGGAAAATGTCATTTGTTCTGAAGTTTAATAGGAAAGTGCCTTTTATGTCTATCTAGAATAGTATAATGACCTGGCCAATAAAGCAGATTGAATGCGTGTAAAGGAAAATGTGAGGAAGTGCTTGGCTGCCTGTATAGCCCTTTCTGCAGTCCTCAGAGCTTTCTGTCACTGCACCGTTCTAAGAGGAGCTATGTAACAAAAGTTGAGTTTAATCAGCTATGTGCTTCTTTTCCAGATTGTGTGTGTGTGTGTTTGTGTGTTTACAGAAGCAATGATCACACTTTCTGCAAATGACTGTTGCAGCTATTTTTTTTCCCCACTCAGATCTAGCTTACAGTATAGCTGCTACAAACACTTGGTGCTGGCACTTGATTCAAAGCCCTTTCTGGTGCTGATATGTCATTACGAACCTGCTGTGATTATTACTGTGTGTCTTTCCACTGTTCTCAGTTGTACAGTACAACGTGAGTGGAAAGGATTGAGTCAGAACACAGCCTCTAGCCAAGAGAGGATGCTGCGTTATTCAGTGTGACTGAGGAAAGGAGCTGATGCCATAGGGCTCAAAGTGGTCAAGGAGGGAGGCAGGCAGATGGCATGGCTAAAATGAGATCAGCTGGTGAAGGTAGTGGGGCCTCTCTCAGCATAGACCCCAAGTGCTGGGGCCACGTGGAACAAAAGGGGCAAAAATGGCAGTCCTTCAAGAGCAGATGCCAAGAGAGGCTGAAGAGATGCTGGTCCATGCTGGTTCATGTGGCCAGGCCAAGAAATAAGAATGTGAACATTTGGCTGGGGATGATGGCCAGCAGTAGCAGAAAAAGAAGTAGGGAATAAGATGTAGGAGGATCTTCTTGTGATGCTATTAGATTTTGTGCAGTCTGTTACGCGCTGGGGGATGTGGCATTCCTCCAGACCTTTC